AGATGTGTATAAGAGACCACCTAGGCCCTGGACCAAACTCGCGAAAAGTAGTTTTGTAGTTTTTGAAGGCGGTTTCAAACAGCAACAACGTGTTTCAAAATTGTTTATGAACAAACGTAATTATGAATGAATTATTTAGACAACCCAAACCATTGCTTGAATGTCGTGAGAAATCGTAGTAGGAATCCTAGTACAGCATGCACTGTAGTGAGTATAATTACAAATACTAGGCCTACAAACCAGTCCTACCATAGGCTAATTAATCGGGCTAGCATGGGCCTAACCTAGAATGGATAAGCCGCACCCCAAAATTCGGGATAGGTGGCGATGTTGTATGTCCGGTGAAAAATTTTTAAAAAATTGACGCGCAGGGTCTAAATCGACGCGCGTGCTGACGAAAGACCGTTTATTTATTTTGTTTGGCCTAATGGTGATTTCAAATAAAAATAAAATTTTATTTTTTGCCAGTTAGCACACCCTCCACCACGAGAAATGGAAATTCCAGAATTTTTTTTATTTGTTTTTAATACACCCTCCCATCCCCTGAAATTGAAAATAAGATATATATATTTGTTCCCTAAGTATATACATTTAAAACATTTATCAATCTCATTAATACACTGTTTACATTCATCTATAAAATTATATTGTTATTTTCTCCTCAGTCTGGATGCTTTTGACAAAATGATTGTGCTAAATAAAAAAACAATTTTTTTTTCGCCCTCCTCTATCGATCTTTAAACAAGTAAGTTCGCTAAACAAGGTATTAAAAAAGTCCCACCCTAACTGGAAAATAAAAGATGTTTGATTTATATTTAAGAATATAATGAAAAAAAAAAGCAAAGCAATGTTTGAAAAATGTTGGTGCTTTAAATAAATATTTTTAAAATTGCATCAAATTTTATGCACATAATTAAATTTTTTTAGTGATGTATGTTACAGTATAAAGTATCATAGTGTTGATGTATTTTTTTAAATTTTTATATGACAGAAAACCTACCATTGGTTGTTCAGTAAATTCGAACCACAACATTACACTGTTTCATCCAATTGGTTCGCTGCTTCTATTGCTATTGTATTCAGTGTATTATCCCTTTCCAGGTCAGCTGCTTTGTTCTATGGTAAGAATCATATTTTGTTTCTTTTATTCTGTTTCAACAGCAATTGAGATAGTTTATAATAATAATAATAATAATAATAATAAAGTAAGAACTTATATAGCGCCATTCAAAAAACCGAAGTAATTATCAGTGGCGCTTCATGTTATTGTTGGAATAAGTGCGTTTTGAGTGATTTTTTAAATAAAGGAATTGATGCTGATTTTTTAATGTGAAGTGGTAGTGCGTTCCAGAGTGTGGCTGCAGCAAATGAAAATGATCTGTGTTTGAAGGTCTTAGTGTTGGTGCGAGGGACAGAAATTAAATTGAGATCAGATGAACGTAGGGAACGGCCTGGCACATATTTGGGAAGAAGTTGATTAATGTATGTGTGTTGATTGAGAGTCAGTGACTTATAAGTCAGTAAAAGGATTTTATATTGAATTCTGGCATCAATTTGTAACCAATGAAGTTCACGTAAAATGGGGGTTATATGAGTGCGTCTGTTACTAAATGTTAGTATGCGTGCAGCAGAGTTTTGTAGTCGTTGAAGCCTGTTAATATTACAGGTCTCGCTCTAATTTAGACCACCTTTATGCAGCCCCAAATGAGCATCTACCTATCTTTTATTTTTATCATCATCATCATCATTTATTTATTTAAGTAAGTTTTCTTCCCTCTTCCAAGGGGTTACTGACTGTCACTCGTTCCATGCAGCTACACCATCTCTCCACTTCTTCCTGTCTTGTGCATCATACTCCTCCAAACCAATTTTTGCACTTTCTTTCTTCACCATATCTTTCCACGTCACCTTTGTCCGCCCCCTTACTCTTCTACCTTCAACTTCTAGATGCCAGGCTCTCTTTACTGGATCACCTTCGTCTTTACTTAGCACATGACCCATCCATCTCAAGCAACTCCTCATAATAACTTCCACAATTGTTTTACCTAGACCTAGACGTTCCATAAGCTCCTTTGTGTTCCTTCTTTCTGCCAGCTTATAATGCTAATATTTCTTAAAACGGTCTTAACTCTTAACTTCTCGAATAAAGCCGACTTTACCACTTAAACGGTCTTACAAAAGTCACTCTGCTAAAAGCATTGCTATAAAACATTCTTCACTTAGTCTGCTCTGAGTATTGAAATGCAAACAAGCACTCCCTCATAACATAAAACTGAGGGCGTTGTTCACTTGATCACAACATACATATTTATCAAAATGAACCTAAATAAACAAACATTTTTACAGATGCTGAGAAGCTTGTGGAATATTCGTTCGATACTTAGTCTTTGACAATCTAGGACTAGGTCTAGTACCTGTAATGCCATGATGAAAATGATTTAATACCATTTTAAACCTCCTCCGAGTATGCTTTAAAATTTAAGACGGCAAACTGGTTTGACCACGGTATATTAAAGGTCTATAATCGATAGCCAGTAGTGACATCACGATTAAAGCCGGCTAAGCATTAAGACCGTCCAAAGACCGCTTATAGTAATCCACCCCTGTACTCTAAAATGAGTTTTATTATAGAGCTTTGCGATTCGAAATGTTTAGTGGTAAAAGGAAGGAAAGTGTTTTCATGATTTGAACACAGGTCACTAAGGCTAGGCACACACTGCAGTGAGTTTCTATGACAATGGAATGTGTATATATCAGTTGCCAATCAAGATGTTTAATTTTTGGTTCCTAGGTTACCATGCTCCACTAGATGTCTACCCTACTTTGCACAAGACAGCAGATAATCCCAAAGTACATACACTGCATGCAAACAGGCAGGTGAATGTTTGCATCGGCAAAGAGTGGTATCGGTTTCCTAGCAATTTCTTCATGCCTGAAAAGTAAGTATGAATAAATAAAATTGTGAGGGAGTTAATAAAAGGGCTTGAATAAATGCAATTCATAAATAATTAATTGATCAATCAACTGAAAGCATCTTCAGGTAAGTTATAAATCGTGATCGGATTCATCTCTAACCACCAAGCACAAGCTCAGTGGTCAAGTGGTTAAGACACCAGGCTAGTTATCTAGAGGTCATGGGTTCGATTCCCATCCAAATCACTTGCCAGGTATTTTTTTTTCGCAAGAATTTGGGAACAGTGAACATTCAGTTTGATTATTATTTCTCCTGATGAAAAAAGGCCATTGGAATAGAATTGCAGTACCCACTACTACATGGGGATCGGAATCTTCACTAACCGCCAAGTGCAAGCTTATTGGTCGAGTGGTTAAGACACCAGGTACTGTAGTTATCTGGTGGTTGTAGGTTCGATTCCAACCTGAATCACGTGCGAGATTTTTTTCACAAGCATTTGGGAACGTACTGAACATTCAGTACGATAATACGTTGTGTATGGCAAATATCATTCGCATTAAGTTATTAATACTTTTTGATTTTCAGTTGGGAATTGCAGTTCATTCAATCAGATTTCAAAGGTCAACTTCCAAAGCCTTACTCATCACGACACGATGCAACACAGATGATTCCAACCCACATGAATGACATGAACTTAGAAGAGCCAAGTAGATATGTAAGTTGAGTTGAGGAATAGAGATGAATTGGTCTCAGATCTATCTATCATCCCCTTCCCTCAAAAAAAATAAATGCACCAAACCACTTCAACATATATTAACATATTGCAACAGTACGCTGGTTTTGGGATGCATGCCTCATTATATATTAAGGCAAAATAATGGCATTGTCATTAATATTTGTCAATTATTGTTGTTTTTGTATTAAAATTATTACTACTTTGTTTACATATTGTAGGTTGAGTTGACGAAATGTCACTATCTGATTGACCTTGACCTCCCAAAATCCACACCTTTAGAACCAAGATTCTCGGAATTGTCAGACCAGTGGGAGGCCATTGACAGCCAACCATTCCTTGACCAAGAAAGGTAAGTCAAAATAATAATAATATGTCATTTGACAAAAAACAGGTGACTTGCCTAAATATGGTCATGATGACATAACATCATGGCCAAATATAGGCACATCATGACTATATATGGGCACATCATGACTATATATGGGCACATCATGACTATATATGGGCATACAATAGTTTTTGGTCAAAGAAAGTTTGATAGTGTACACAGAGCTTAAGAGAAAAAAACTTAACTGGCACATCTTAGAGATGGACAGTGTTTTCAGTGTTTAAGGATTTAATATGAATTTTCATATTCTACTTAAATGCTGAGAAATAGTAATAGTTATAGTAATAATAAATAGTAATAGTAATAGTAATTTTAATTCTATCTATCATACACTATTGAGCATCCCTCAGTTAACTCTAAGGCTATGTTCTCACACGGCAGATTTTTGGTTAGCAGGATCCGGATCCTGTTAACCGTGAGCTGCCAAGCGTCCATGCGAGAAAATCCCAATCCGGGTACCAAGAATATGATGATCGAATCACTGGCCAATAAGAAACTGGAAATTGTAAATGCGTATGTGTGATTGGTCAATGGTAGAAACACGCTCAACTTGCTAACCAATAGCGCTTGCTAACCGTTAGCGGTATCCGGATACCGCTAACAGTTAGTGCTAACCGACTGGTGGTTCTCACACAGGTGCTGACGGTTAGCGCTAAATGTTAGCTCCCAATCCGATACTGCTGTAGGTCTCGTGAGAACCAGGCTGTATTTATTTCTTAATCATCGCAAGTTAATACAGGATTGTAGAAAAAAGTTAACATACGAAAAATATTAAGCCAAAACAGATTTACAATTAGGCCATAAACACATAAATATTCTGAAAACTAATGAATTATTTTTAATTTGAATAATGTTTAGTCAACAAATTCAAAAGGGTGATCTCCACAATCACCAACTTCGATGTACCTTGGTCAGTGGTCATATATCAAGTTTGTATCTCAACTGACTTCATGTAATTGATTATTTACAAAAATATATAAACTCAGAGATTATTTCAAACAAATTTTTGATAATTTTTTTTTTTTCCAATCTTTTATTTATAGCCCAACCCCATAATTATATCAGCTTGTGTGTTAACTAAATTAAAAATTAATTTAAAAATATTTAAATTTCCTCTTTATTTTCCAGATCTGATAGAATCTTCCGTGCTTTCTACATTCCGTTTGTTTCCTATAGGCATGTATCATATGGTAATTATACAGTTTTCAAAACAACAAGAAGGAAAGCACTGCCAAAAAGGAAACCTGCAGTCTAATGAAAGAAATGTTAGAATGGCAGAGATGAGTCAAAAAAGAAAAAATAATTTTAAATCAAATTACACCTGGATACTACTCTTATTACTAGAAGAAAGCACAGACAAAAGGGGAATGTAAATGTCAAAACTGTGAGTGTTACAAAGAAGGATTAGATCATGGAAGGGTGAATTGAAGCTGGGGTCATCTATATCCCCTGAATCTGCAAACAAGCAAACAAACAAAAAATCTATCGAAAAGTTAACCATCTCCACACTCAGCAAGCTTGTGTGTTTTTTATTTTTTCTTTTGTATGTCTTCCTGAAGTCAGCTGAACATTGGTATCAATGCATGCAGCAGAATGCAATGAAATGTGTTGGGAAAGCCCATTAAACTAGACCAACCTGAAGAGGGTTCTCCTAAGCTTGGACCCCAGAGGTGGGGTTAGATAGATAACATTGTCATTATGACAGGTGAATTAAGGCTTTGGAGAGGGATAGATAACACAATAGTGGAAGGGTGATTTAAGGGGTTGAGGGAGCAATAAATCATGGAAAAAAAAAATCTTTTATGAACTAAATTTTAAAGACAAAAAAAGGAAAGAGCCAAAAAATGTTTTTAGCAGAGTAGTTGGATTAAGGGTGATTTTTGATCACATAAATTGGACAAATAAACAGTTAAAAAGGAAATCACATATATACATGTAATTATGGCATCATTGGTTAAAGTTGTCCACCAAAAAGTTCCTATTACTGATTAAGTTCACATAAGAGTCAAAAGAAGAAGAAAGCTCATCTCATTTGGACTTTTCAATTATTTGACTTATGAATATTGTTTTTATTTTTCAAAAATTCAAATTCAACTTTTATTTCATAACAAAGGATTTGATAAAACAAGTAAACAGTACTGAAAAAATAATTAAAATACACATTGAAAAGACGTCAATTAGATATTAAAGATATATAAAAAGTTCAGTATTCAACATCAAAATATAAACAAACCTTATTGCAATAAAAAAAAAACATTACTGTTGATAAAAATAATGAAAAAATAATTAAAATACACATTCAAAAGACGTCAATTAGATATTAAAGATATATAAAAAGTTCAGTATTCAACATCAAAAGATAAACAAACCTTATTGCAATAAAAGAAAAAACATTACTGTTGATAAAAATAAATCGGGCACAGACTCTTCATTTCATTCACATCTAACAGCAAATACACTCGCCACTTTACAGGATAGAATGATGCTTTATAAACCAAGCCTCTTATTGAAGCTTAAGAAGTGCAGTTGTTTTAATCGTGTGAAAGTGCGTGCTGTGACATGAATAGAACCTATGACCCTGGGATTAGAAGGCAAGAAGTATTTGAACTACTAGGCTATTCAACTTCTTTCCTAGACTTGCCACAAGTTTCAAATTTATTGACTTTTCGTAGTATTAGCAACATTTCGGAAAGCGCCACCGGCGTCAGTTTAGGTGCGATAAAGTATACTATGGAACGCTATTGGTGTCAAAATCGATTTATTTTTAATATTTTGACTGATTAAGACAAAGTTTAGGGATTGAAACCCAGTCTACTCTTTTCCATGTGAATACTGTACTACTTTAAAAACAGAAATAAACAACCCAAACCTTTTGGAAGGAAGGAGAATTTAGTTTTGGGCAGAGGTAAATCATATGATACCTTAGTGATAAATAAAATGGTCAAAGAGGGGTAAATGATGGTTTTCAGTGTAGTCGGCATTTGGTTTAAACATTCATGTGATATGCAAACTATTTAACTGGGGCCTATATTGCATACACGTCAATTATATGATTGCGAAGATGCTTCAAAATTTAGGATGAAAATACGAATATCCCAGATAAAAGGAGAGAAATATAAACAAGAATATTGAGAATTATTACTTGAGAATTATTACTTAAGTATTTTGATGTACATGTATAATTATGTATTGATGTTATTGGGTGATGCTAAACTAACTCATGGTCCTTGGGTCAGATCTCAGACTAGCACACTTAAGGATTAGACGTTATGTTTATGTTTAAAAGAATACAAGGAATCATGAAACAATAAATTAATAAAGGTGTCAAACATCACTTCTTGTATTGTGCTCTCTTTAAGGAGGGGAGGGGTTCTATGTGTGTTTTGAGGAAATGTTTTGGAGAAATATTTGTTGATTCTGTGATCTTATAATAGATGGTTAACAAGTACTTCCTTGATGCCAGTGATTAACTAGGCCAAACTAGGCCTGGAACCCAGTCTACAACAGGGCATGTGAAAAGGCTATTAAGTTTCCTTCCATCGGGTATTTAAAAATGCTTGCTGTCGTTCGTCGTGATACGATACGATGTACTACAAAAACATTCTTGAAAACATGAACTGAAATATCGTTATGGTAATGGTACTGGTTGGGGACATTTAGAGGTCATAAAGCATGCTCTCTATACCACAAAAACCTATGACTATTACTATACCAAGGACCTCGGGAATCAATAGAATAGTGTGATTAAGTGGGGTTCGTTTAAGAGCATGTTTTAGATTTTGTCCCATGGTGGGGCTGAGATGGGTGTGGACCCACGGTTTGAAATAGGAAAAGCAAAATAAACATATTAATGAAAATGTTTCAAAATTATTATGGTACATCACACATTATTAATTAGATCTTAATAGTTGCCGAAAATCAGTGATAAAAAAGATAATGAGAAATTTGTTGGAACTTCATTTCCACATAGGGTGATGTGATGATGAATTTTACTCAAGGCCTATATATAAGAGTGTCATTTCAGGTCATCTACAGAGCCTACTGTGCATAGCTTATGTAGTAAAAAAGAAAATCAACCCCAGCTACAGTCAACAGCTAATGTAGTCACGAAAATGCATCACAACTGATGTAGAATACTAGGCCTACGATATTACAATACCACTGGTCTCGCATAAATTATTCATCTGAGATCGTCAATGACGTAGTTCGACGCGGTCGGTTGGTGGCCAGGTCCGATTACATTTAACATCATCTGCTTTCCCAATTTATGTTATTCTTATTGGTTTCGAATTTAGCACGCAGTGACGAGAATTCGGTCATTCCATCAGTCAGTTTGTTGGTCGGTCGGTCTGTCCGTTAGTGATCAATAAGACTCCAGCACACAACGGTAACTTTCATCAAGGTGTCGAGCTCAAGTAGTTTTCACCTTAACCCTATGCCAGGTGACCAAGAAACAACGTGGGTAAAAAATCATCAGGTTCCTGAGGGGGAATAAGACGTGTTGCTGTTAACCTAAAGACGAACAAAAATTTGTAAGTAAAAAAAATTATGTAAATTTGTACTTACTGTATTAGTAGATTATAGGCCTAAGCCTTTGAAACCCTTGAATTGTCAAAAATTTTCAGGGGCTTCGCCACCCAGATCAATTTCGAAACATTTTAAGAGATGCTCGACCACGCCCGCTTTGCTATTGTCGGGGACCTCGGACCTCCATCGGGAATCCTGATCCCCATATGTACCGGGTAACGACATCATTTGTGTATAGGTCTAAGCTTGAACAGATCCTACAAGGTTCTATTGCTGGGGTGGATGCAAGGGTAGGGGTTGCAGACGGTGCGATCGTACCCCCTAAAGGAAAATAATTGTAATATTGTTAACGTGGATTATTGGTAAGATATTTAAGGTATAGTATGAGAGTGCAAGTTCCGGGCACCCAGAGGTCCATATTCTCAAAATTGTCGCACCTCAGTCCCAACATTGTGTGGACTCTCATGCACCCATGGGCGCAGACGATGGGGGAAGGAGATTATACGTCCTAAGTTGTTTAAAGACATTCGAAAATTGTGGGTGTCCTATTATAGACCGTTTTTATCGTAGTATGCTTAAGCTTTATTTTACTTTCTTATCTGAGATTAATCAGTGGACCTTTCGGTTTTTATTCCAACACAATGCCGTATAAATCAATATGTATATAAATGACATGTACATTTTTTTTTCTTAAATGTTAGTGTTTACCTCGCATATCTCGTGTTCTGTCATCAAGAATTTTTGCAATATATGTGAGTATGGTCATTTTGGCGTGTGTTACTTTATTCCACCTATGTTGCGCTTCATTATTTTTTTCATTGGAATTTATTATTTTATATGGATGTTTATTTTTAGATTAGATGTACATAATAGAAGTTACACCTAAAGATAAAAATTCCAAACCGTCTTGCGGTAATTATTTGGCTCCGGTTGAGGCGATATTTTTCGATATTATGCTTGGGAAAAACCCATACTTTTGTATTTACTTTAATTTTTTTGTGAGACATACGGTACGTGGAATCACCCACATCTAATTTTACTTGGCCTATATATGCATGATTTATAATGTATATATATATATATGTGTGTATATATATACATATATATAGGCCTATATATATTCCTTATAATTGAAAATGTTAAATATTTGTCAGCAATTAGAATTTTTTGTATGTTACTATTGACCTTATAACTTTAATTATCAAATTATACGTTGCAAGTGCTTATTCAATATGTCCTCACTCATATTTATTGCTTGTGCTGTTAATTATTACGCTTAAGTTTTATTTTTTCGTATTTTTACACTCCAGAGTGTAAAGATTCCGGGGGAGGACCTCCATCCCCCGTTCTCTTTGGGTTCATCGATTAATGTAAAAAAGAATATGTGTGCAACTACTTAGTTTTGTTTTATGTACATACACACATAATAGGCCTATTTACTGTAATAAGAATGAAAAAGTTTACCTGACCGTTTTCAAGAGTAGCAAAACCTTGAATTTCGAAGAATTTTGAAAAAGTCATTAAAAGACACCTCAGAAGTCGGGAAAGCCCTAGGAATCAATATTTTCACAGGGAAGGCCCCCGAACTCCCTAAATTTGAACCCAGATTCGCACACAATGCAACGGTCGGTCTCAAATTCATCTCAGCTCTGTGTGAGCGGTTGACGGCGGAATCGGTTGCTGAGCGTATCGTCATTGCGGGGAGTCGCGCTGATGACCGTCGGCTGACGCAGAGTGGTTTTTCATAAGCTCTGTCAACATATCAAATTGTCATTGACAAAAAACGGTTGTATGCCCAATTAAATAGTCTGGACAAGTCTCATAGTTATGATATGCCTATATATGGTCATGACCATATTTAGGCATGTCACATGTTTTTGTCAAGTAATATTTGATAGTCTGGACGGGCATCTGGACGGGCATTAAGTTATTGAGGTTTTTTCAAATTTCTTTTGGCTGTAACACTTAATGCTGTGACTGGTTTTAGACTTGATAGGTATACGTCAATGCGTAGACGATTACATGATATATTTATGGATTCATGAATAATAATGCCATATATTACTGTATGGTAATCAATTGAAAACTAGAGCAGTCACTCCAGAGTGCATACCTCCCGCCCTGTGCCTGAACAATTATTGATTATTATGTATCGTTCCACTAAATTTCATGATGATCTATTCCATATTGCATAATCTTGCTAACAGGCAGACAGCACATAACAACCTCCATTGGCGGAGGTAATTACAGTGACACGACATATTGTGTTGATCTATATGTCTCATGGATAAATTGTTCCTAGCAAACACAAATTGATGTTATAACGTTCACAAACGTAGTGGTTAAATATATGAAAAATGTCAGAAAATACAACGTTACCGTAAAGTCTTCGTATGGTACCTATCAGAAATGCCATTTTGTACAATAAACTGTAACGTTACGTAAAATTGTGAGGTACGCATTGGTGTTCTTTAAAAGAGAAATCTAGCGTTTTAATTGATGCTTATAAATTGTTTTCCATGATTTGTCCACTGGCAGAATAAAGTACCGGTATATGCCTATGATAGCCTATTTAATCGATTCTTAACATACGCTACTTTAACTTCTCTCATGAACTAACTCCACATTCTTCTCGTTCAGATCAAGAGGCATCGAAAATCCAGCACGATTTAAGTGGTGTTTGCATTGTTTACTATTCGGTGTGTTCGTGTTTACAAAATTCACTCTCACTTCTGAACGAGTCGGCCGATTTTAACGGCTGTTTCGGTACGTAAAAATAGACTAATTAAGCTGTCTGTTAAGCTAAAAATCAATATGATTGGATGAGAGGTCTCGTCGGGACGCCCATTTCTTTAGAGGCATTGACATGATCTGACACACTTCGACTAATGGTAAAGAATAGGCGGCAGTTAGACATTCCCGAAAAGCTCGTGCTGGTGTAAGGTTGATAGAAAAACAGCAGTTTCTTAGCTAATACTTGCTTAAAATTCACCATTTTTGTATGAAAGAGAAGAGAAGTCTTTTTCTGATTTGTAATATGTAAACATAGTTAGTTAGTTTTTTTTTGTTACGAGCAGTTTAAAATGTCCAGTTTTTTTCGAAACCAGCAGCGTGATTTAGCCGCTTGATGGACTCGACCATTATACATGTAGGTAAAGGCGGTCAAGCGTCTTGGCTAAGATGGTCTCCTTGACATCCAATTTGTAATTACAGTGTTTGTATTGATGTTACCATTAAATATATATCAGATATCGTGACAGACCAAAAAATGTGTTATTGTAATTTTACAAATAATGATTATGTGCCTCTCATTCACCTCTAAGTAAAGTGGTACGGCCAAGCTTTTTTGACTGGGCTACACTATGTAGCGGAGAGATTAAGATTGAGTGATAAGAACTCTACGCACTGAAATTAAATAGATTCAAAAAACAAAACAAATTGTAATGATATATACCGGTAAAATATATTATATATAATATATATAAATACATACATAATGATAAAGAGCTAACATAAGTCAAGTAAAGTCGGGCATCACTATGAAGTCGTTTAAGTGAAGAAATTTAATATAAAATAATAAAAACAATTACTACTGTAGGCCTACTCTAGCATTGAAAAAGAATTCAGAAAAGTAAATAAATAAAACAAATTTGAATATGAAACTTATTAGTATTTTAAATCGGCTTTTGGTCTTCAAAAGATATTGACCTTGGTTAACTAGAACCCCGTTCCGCAACATTTTAGCCCACGACCCAAGCACACAGACGCGACACATCAACCCGAAGTCAGTAAAACGTTTATACGCGCGGGAAGAACCACCCACTAGATTCTTTTGTGAATTGATTAAAAAATATTATCACCCAAAAAATCACTATGTAAAACCCATAAAAATAAGAATATAACTTTGAATTACTCATTTAACAAACCACGTAAGTTATCAATTGTTTCAAAAAGTTAAAGATTTTTAAAAATAAATGATCTACAGACATTTTATTATAAATTCCTAGTACTGCCAGAGATTTATGGGTTATGCGAAGATACAGACACATTAAATTTTAAAATGTTTTCCCATTATAATTTGCAGCTGAAAGCCTAACATATTGAATTGAACAAAACTAATACTTTAAAACTGTCATACCTAAAGTACAAATGTTTTGATAGTGTGTTTTTAACATGAAACTGAGATAACGCACGCATTGAAAAATCAAACTGACAAACTTATCACAGTAAAATTGCACTTTCGTTTACTGTCATTTTATTTCGTTTGTCTTCGTGAGTAAATATTTCAAGATCTGAAAAGATTATGTGAACCATCATTTTTTCCAAACATTGGGTCTCAACCTATAGGTTGCAGAACAGTGAGCTAGAAAATAAATTATTTCGGAAATCCGTCTTTCCGAGATAAACTATCTCGGAAGAACATCTTAATAAGTGTTTATTCCATGTATCCAAAATAATCATCTTGGAAACTCGGAAGGTCACTTTAAGTTTCCGTAACACGCAATATAAAAATCACAAAAACATCCTGTCCGTGACAGAAGCAAATTGCTCGAAATAGTGGAAAGCGTTATGTCGCAATACGAAAGACATTAATGATGATGATGGATTACGAGGCTACGTCATGTGAATTCACGCAAACGAATGAACGGACAATAATACAGTGTATGCAGAGTATTCAATCACATTACGATTCGTATAAATATATAATATTTTTAAATCCAAACACAACTACGCAAGCCAGTGGAACTACTCGAACGTTCGCAATATATACCAGTTATTGTTGTAATAAATGTTATATTACGCCTATTAACGTCCAGTGGCGTATTAAAGAAGGATATATACTGTCTCTTATACAAATCTAGATGTGTATAAGACACAGTTTGTGAATTGATTAA